TACCACTAAGCCACATGCCTAGTCCCTAGAGATTTTTTTCTTCAATTTTTAAATGTAAATATATTTAAAAAAACACGTAAGAAATGTCATCTATACATATGAAAAAGTATTTATATACACAACAAGTAGTGGCAATATTATCCATAAGCAGCAGTGAGTGTTTTTTCCCCTATATTTTGGGTAAACACAATAGTGGTGGTTCATTTATTTTAGGGAAATTATATGAGATACATGTGTATATTATGAGTAACTTATAGAAGACTGTATAATTAGAAAATTAATTCCAAATAACAGTACCTAAAGATATATTTTTAAAAAAAGAACTGAATACCAAAAGGATTATATGTCCTACATCAAATGAAAAAATTTCCAGTGAAACAAATGACAAAAACTAATTGAAGAAGATAGAGTATCCTAATTTATTCCAAGCAAAAAGAAAAGACATCAAGTCATAGCCGAGAATGTTTTTAAATCAGTATTTAAATGTATAAAAGGATGACGTATATCTCAGTTAAGGGCAGAAGTAACAAGAGAGCTCTGTAGTGATGGAGGTTGACCCTGAGGTTGAAAAAGGCATCTTTGTAGCTGATACCAAAAAGACCATGTGGTGCCCCAGGCTCTTCATCTGTAATTCTGTACCAATGTTGATGCTAACCATTGCTCTGACATTTGCCTTCCATTTTAGAGGCTAGTAAAAAGCAGCTTTGATTATTATTTTTTTCTTATGTAATACTTCTCTAAATTAATTCTTAAATGTTTCCCTTTTTCAAAGTTGATAAATGGGATTGCTCACGTCACATTCAATTCTGAAATGGCAATTAAAGAACTGTCATATGACGGTTTAGAAGATTTAAACAATAAGTACCTTTATATTGCTGTAACGGTCATAGAATCTACAGGTAAGAGGGGTGTGTGTGTGTGTGTGTGTGTGTGTCTGTCTGTCTGTCTGTCTGTCTGTCTGTCTGATATTTAGACTGTATTTTAGTGGTACACCTGATCCCTAAATTTCCTTCACCTCTTCTTTCATGGTTAATTTTTACTTTCTATAAGTAATGAAAGGCGGGAATTAGAGCTCTTGAGTCATTAGGCAAGCCATTGGGTCTCTATTATCTGATCTGCAAAACTGGGTTCGCCCATCGATGGGGAACCAGTAGATGCCCAAAGTGGCTTGGCAGGCTGGGTTGCTCAAACATCTAGCATCCAGGGGTGTCATCTGGATACATCAAAATCAAAATGTGATTACACGTGTGAGAGCTTGATGAGATACTGTGCCAAGAAAGTTGTCTCTATTTCCCATGATTCTGATCTCCTTATCTGTGCCACAATAGAGATGAACTAAATGCTCCTAAGCCCCCTTTAGTGGCAACATTCAGAAATTCAGTCTCAAATTAGAGGGGATAATGTGTTTCTAAAAAAGAGCCCAATAATAGTATTTCCTTACAAGATAACAGTGAAGGCCAAAGAATCAGTCTGTGCAAAACCCCTAAACTGCCAGTTGCATGTAATCAGTGCCATATGGTAGCCCTTCTTCTGCCCCACCCTCTTCCCCTCCTTTCCTTCCTCTTCCTCCCTGCAAGATCCTCCTCCTCCTTCTTCCCCAGGGGCTGTCTACTCCTTGCTTTTCATGCTCAACATCTTATCTAGTACTTTCTACACCACTCCAGTGGTTTTTAATCCTTATTAATGACTACTCTGAGATGAGCTAGACTATCTTATTTTTTAGGATGTCTTGATTAGTCATTTCATTCATGTTCAGACTCATACTAACCCCTTAATTTAGCTTGAAGCAATCATGTAACCATGCAAAGATCAATATTTTTCCTGCAAAATAAGTTAAACCAGGTGATTCCTAAGGCCCTCACTCACCTTCAAATGTGTTCTTCTAAGGTAGCAGACCAGAAAGTTAAGGCAATTATCCAGTACTGAATACCATACGTGTGTGTGTGTGTGTGTGTGTGTGTGT